ATATATATATATATATATATATATAAATTTAAAAAAATGCGTTTTATGTTTTGTATCATATTTAATACATCAGGCTTTTATTGCTCATATAGTGAGAATATGGAGCTCATACTCAAAAGCATATCAGTTTTATTCAGAAGCACCAAATTGAGCAAAATTGTCCAATTTGGTGTAGAAGTTGATATTGCCAAAAGTACAATGAAATCCTAATAGCTTGTAATGTAAATCAATGGTATCTTTATGACGGTATAACAGACTACTTGTAAAATGTAAAATGCATATAAATATCAGATGCCAATCTACAGTTATATCTCTCAGTTATGTCTTATTGCAATAAAGATTGTTGTATCATGTTTGATACTTACATTTTAGCGATTTTTCTAAAAATGGATAATCAGTTGCTTCAGTCCAGTAAATGTTCATCTTGAAATATTAAGAAGTTATTCTTATGTTTACTTAATAAAAATCTGTAAAGATTTTACAGCAAAAAGACACATGTACCACAACTTGAAGGGGGACGTTTTTAGAATTATTCTAAAATGCCTTTTACTTGCTAAAAAAAAGTATAAACTTTCTAACAGATGACAAAAGGCATGTAGTAGATTGTGTACAACACTTTTTTCAGCAAAGTTCGATCATATTAACAATTTAGAGGCTTTAGAAATTAATGCGTTAAATACAGTAGGCTTTATGGTTAATATCTGTTTTCTAAGAAACAGAAAATAAGAGTAAGCCTTACTCTTAATTAAGTTTAACAGGCTTTTGTTGTTTCACATGGCCTTGTTCTGGGTAATAATATATATGGCTTACCACTTAGAATTAATATTTTTTGTATGTGTTTCTATGAAAGTGGCACTTTGAAAGTCACAGCTAAGGGTTTATTTTGAATTGGTGCCAGAACTGCATATTTCCGAATGTCGAGACATTACACAGACATGGATGACAAGAATGTGAATACACTCTCATAATAAGTCATATTTATATAAGCATTCATGAAATTGTCCAAATTAGGTTTCGTACAAGTGCCCTTTTAACCTAGACACTATTTAGGGTGGGATGTGAAGGTGGAGTTGTAACATGTCTTACTGTTTTGTACGTAACGTCCCTTCTTGTGGTTATCGAAAGCAAGGATGCGTGAAAAAGTGTTCCTCTTATCTTAGGTTGTCCGTTCCTCTTTCCGGAGCCGGTTGAAAGAAAAACCGACTTGTGAGACAACAGTGAACTCTTTTTTTGTTTGTTTTTGCTTTAGTAGCACACTAAGCATACAGACATTGTCCTGTCATCAGTGAAGTTGCTGTTGTCCCCCTCGCTGCCCTACTTCAAACCCTTGTCTGTTAGCTCGCTGCTGGCCCTCTTCGAGAGCTAAGGCCGCTGGGAAAGCACAGCTTTGTCTAATCGCTATTCATGTTCAGTCTGTCCTCCTAAAACAATCCCCATCACCTCACGAAGAGCAACACGTGCATCCGAGCCCAAGCGCTCTGGCATCGTCCCGCGCTTCCCAGCGATGTCAGTATGTGTTTGCTGGAGAATATTAATGTCATGTTTGTTTTGATTCAGCCCTCCCCGTAATAGCAAGGAAATTAGTCTCCTGCGCTTTTATACTTGTCTTCTGTGCGGTCTGTTGTTGAGGAACTGTAATAAAACTCCAGGGGATTCATGATCAGCAGTTAATAGAACTTTGTGTTTCGAAACTGATGATGCAGCGAGGCCCTTGTGTGCCGTGCTTTCCAGCATCATATTTTTTGGTGACGACTTTTGTACCAAGCCCAAGATGCCTGTCGTGGCCAAAGCCCCATTTAGGTGCGAAATTAAAATGTGGGCTAGCATCATAAAGAATATTAGGTGCAGTTAACATGCTGTGCAGTCAACTTTGCTGGATGTGCCGGAGGAAAGAGGGAGACTGTTATGATCGGAATTTGGCTTTCAATGAGGCACGTTCAAGGTGTAGTAACGTTAGAGCGGCTGTGCTTACAGGCTTCTTGTCATTAAAAGTTATTCTGAAGGTCACCGGACTGTGAGAGTGCTGTCAACGCATTCCAGGGTTCCCTGTTGTTGGTCTGTAAAGTGTTTTTGCATGGGTGATTTGTTGCAGACTGTGTAAATATTATGCAGAATAGTGTTTTAGAGAGGAAATATGAGTTGCTTACGTTTCTGCTCACATAGCTGGCTAAAGATTATGCTTGTTGATCCAATGCCAGTGCATTTTGATGTCACAATCTAATGTTCTTGAGGTCATCTGCTCCATATTATATCAATGTGCTCTTTGGGATTTTTTCAAAATGCTCATTACCTTACAGTAATGGTTGTGGTGATGTTCCATGTTTCTCTTTTTCGATATAACCAATCAAATTTTTTAAGCCCAATAAGAGATTTTTTGGTACAGCATAAGCATACTGTTGTTTTATCAATGAATAGCCTATTTATTTGCTAAAAGTAAATACACACATTGAAACAATTGTAATAATAATAATGTTCATTTACAGACTATAGTTGAACTCAACAAAAACAAAGCTTCACACTCATCTTGGACAGTGCAAATCAGTGTTTTTCGCTGCAGAGTGGTGAAACTTTGCAGTTTTTTAGTGGTATCTGATGAAATTGAAAAAAGGAGACTTTGAAATTTGATTTTGTTTTTTATTCCCATATCCTTCAATAATGAATTGAAAGGAGTATTGTTCCAAAGAAAAAATATGTTAGTCCAAATAAAACAAATGCATTTGTCCTTAAGTAAAATACATTTTTGACAAAGCAACTTTTGAGAAAGGTGAATGGGTCTTTACAAATAGTGCAGCCAAATATAGAGTCTAATTTATTTATTTATATAGTGCCTTATTTTAATAAGACCAAGATACAATGGAGATGATGAACAATTTTAAACAGTGTTTTCTTTCTTATTTCAAATAAAATGGTTTGCACAATCTTCAATTTCAGTGATCACACTTCTAAATTTTCCTAAATGCAGTGATAATGCTTAAAGTTGGCATGAAATGGAAATTAATCTATTTTCTAAATAGGTTCATTCATCCATTCATGTTTCTTTTTTTTTTTTCTTACCTTGACTTTCCTGTGAAATGACAGAATTCTCTTATTTTGTCCACATAAACCTGCCCCACCCTGCATTTTTTTCCAATAATTCATTTTACTCGGATGTACGTCACAACATGGAAGAAAACAACTGTCGCTACTTCCATTTCATCTAGGGCTGCACGATAAATATCGCACGATATTTTATGCGCATCTCGTCAGTAAAGCCGGTTCTGTAATCAGCGGTAAATCTCCATCACGTGCGTGCTTTCACGTGGAGCAGCATTTACTAAACAGAGCCGTTGTTCACTGACAAGCTGCACAAAACATGCGCAAAATATGATTGTGGTTTTGCGCAGCTTGTCAGTGAACAATTTCATCACCGCTTTAAATGACTGATGGCTCATTTTCTTGAATTAGTGACTCTTCCACGGGTGATTATGTCATTTGAAATGCCAAACTTGTCTTGTAGTTGTTGAAAAGACACGAGTATGTAGCCATCAAACAAATGAAAGAACTTGATTCCTTTCTAGCATCAGTGGTTTTCTTTATCATTATATTGTTGACTCTTCTTACAATACAAACCGATGACGCAGTGGTCATTCATGCTAAATAGACATTTAGTGTGTATTTTGATTGTTTGTATTGTCATTGCATAACAGTCTTCTTGTTGTTCTTTCATTGCTGTTAGCTGCTGATCACTGCGGTCAGTGACGTCTTAACCCACACACTGACCCCCAGCCCGACCACAGAGAAGCCCTTGTCTCCTCGACACTACCATCACATCGACCCCACCACTGGTAACAAGCTGGTGTGCGACAAGTGTCCGGCGGGCACCTACGTGTCCTCCCACTGCACAGAGGCCAGTGTACGGGAATGCAGCCCCTGTCCAGACGGCACCTTCACCCGGGGTGAGAACGGTGTTCAGCAGTGCCACCGCTGTCAGAGACGCTGCCAAGCCCCATTTGTCGAGAAAACTCCCTGCACGTCCACCACCGATCGGTTGTGCATGTGTCCGCCAGGCAGCTTCTCCCAGGGTGGAAAGTGTCAACGGTACACATTATGTCCACCGGGGTGGGGCGTCCGAAAGCGAGGGAGTGAGACAGAGGATGTGCGCTGCCGGTCATGTCAGCGTGGCACCTTCTCTGATGTGGCATCAGATGTTCTGAGGTGCCGATCTCACACAGTTTGCTCGTCTCTGGGCTTAACACTGCTGATCAAAGGCACAGAAGAGACAGATAGTGTGTGTGGGCCAACTCCAGCCAGTTCGGTCTATGTCCTACTTGGAGAGGCCTCCGTTTCCACGGTTTCCAGCACTGAGTCAGCATACAGAGGTGAGAGTGAAGAAGCTCAGTGTAGAGCTATTCCTTACTGAATAGAGTACACTTAGTTAACTAGACGCATTGACGGTAGATAGATAGACAGACAGACAGATAGACAGATAGATAGATAGATAGATAGATAGATAGAAATTTGTTTTCTTTCCTTGGTAGAGTTATATTCTCCTGGTGTGTTGTACAAGTGCTTTAATCCATCGGTTCTGTTGTTACTAACGGCTCCCCCTTTTCAACATGATTGCTCAACTCCTTCATCAACTTCCCTAATTTGGTGTTTAAATAAAGCAGTGGATGAATGTGATGCTTTTGTGTATGTTCTTTAGAGGACTCTTTTTAGGCCTGTACAGATGTAGCTGTTTATGAGCAATAGCTTTTAAAAATTTCCAACTTGTTTTTATAGCTTACTGTTTAAATAATAATAATAATTATAATTATATTATTATTATTATTAATAATAGCAATAATAATAATAATGATAATAATAAATGCATGAAAATTATTTAACGCCTTTTAATTTACACACACCGTTTAAGAGTTTTATGCTTGGTAAGATTATTTTAATGTTTTTCAAAAGAAGACTCTTGTGCTCAACAAGACTGCATAATTGTTTTTTGATTGAAAAAAAAAATATATATATTGTGTTTGTGTATTGTATAAGTAATATTGTAAAATATTTGAAATAAGTTTAAAATAATGGTGTAACAGTGTAAAATGTAAGTTATAATTTATGACGGCAAAGCTGAATTTTCAGCATCATTACTCCAGTCTTCAGTGTCACAACGTCCTTCAGAAATCATTCTAATATGCTGATTTGGTGCTCAAGAAACATTTCTTATTATTATCAATGTTGAAAACAGTTGTGCTTCTTCATATTTTTGTGGAAGCTATGATACACCTTTTATGGATAGAGAGTCTCATTTATTTGAAATAGAAGTCCTTTGTAACAAATGTTTTTATTGTCGATTTTGATTAATTTAAGGCATCTTTGCTAATAAGTGTTCATTTCTTAAAAAAAAAAAAAAACACTTACTGACCCCAAACTTATTTCTTCAGTCTTATTTCTTATTTTCAGAAGAAAACTATTTCTGATTCCTCAGTTTGCATTGACTTTAGTTTCTTGGGGTCAAATCTGAACAGTTAAGATGAGAAATCCATGTGAGATTATGTTGGCTGAGCAGCACAGCTCCACTTTGCTATCAACACATGCCAGCTTGATGCTGGATTAAAGTTTTAGATACTCTGCCTTCTGTTTTGTTGTCTAGGTTAAGCTCATCTTTAGGACTGTATTTAATTCTCTCTCTCTGTCTCTCTGTTTTTGTCTGCAATTATATGATCCACTCTGCACACAGCAAGCACTGCAGTTTCACCAGCTGCAGAGATTCAGGATGTAGCAGGGCCGGTCCTCAGTAGCACAGATGCGGCCCTCAACGCTGATGACATTCCCACAACCACATCTTCCTCCAAGTCTAGTGATGAGGATGGCGGACTCTTAATCGCTGCAACTCAGGACTTCCCTAAATTGCAAAACAAGCTTTCCTTATCACGAGACCCCCAGCTTGCCAACCAACAGGCCATGGAAACTCTGTCTGAGGGCAAGGCTCAAGGTTTGGGCTACCGGCCCATCCGCAGGGGTGCGCCGAGGCCTAGCACGCACAAGCACTTTGACATCAATGAGCACCTGCCTTGGATGATAGTCCTGCTGCTTCTACTGGTGCTGGTAGTGATCGTGGTGTGCAGCGTAAAGCGCAGTTCGCGGGTGCTGAAGAAGGGTCCCAGACAGGATCCCAGCAGCATCATGGAGAAAGCCATCCACAAGAAGCCCAGCTCTCCAGCGCAGACCAAGGAGAGGTGGATCTACTACTCAAATGGACAGGGTGAGTAAAATTTTTGTATTTTTATAGTTATATTTCAGTGTTTTGTGTTTGCGCACAAAACTTTTGTGATGGGCTGAAAAATCTCCCGAGCGCTGTCACTGCCTTCCGCCATTTCGTCTCGTGCAAACAACAACAACAACAACATTGCGTGCTGCTTCTGCGTCAGACTAATGCTGGCTGGACAGGATTTACCGCAAGTTTTCAAAATCGCGATAATCAAACACGGTTTTGATGATAATTAAATTTTAAACGATAATACTAACCGTCAGGGCATTTTATCGTGATTTATCATGAAACCGGTAATCGTTCCATCCCTAGATGGAAATAATATGAGATGGGAGCAAAAACTATATTTCAGTGCTTTTGCGAGCAAACTCAAAGTTTCTTGAGGGAACGCAACAGTTTTGCAAGAGAAAGCAAATGTTTTGCAAGAGAGCGCTCAGGGGAACACAATACTTAGGCAAGAGAACATAGCACTAAAATATAATTTTTCCTTCCATCTCAAATTTTTTTCCCATCACAATGTCCTCTTAGGGGCTCCATCACAAATTAGATTGATAAGTCTGATTTCTATTTTTTTTTTAATTTATTTATTTGGTAATTTCTCATTATTTTTATCATTTGTTGCCATTTTTGGCAAATTGTGTGTCAAAATAATGATTAAAATGACCATTCCAAACAATTAGAAAAATCAACTTAAACTCCAATTAAAAAAAAAAAATATTATGTTAATTCAGTCTATGTGTGAAGAAGTTTGAAGAGATAAAAATGTTGACATTTATATCATTCTTATAAATGCTAATGTAAATTCAACTTTACACTAAAGTTATTCAACCAAATAACTTGATTAAAGGTGAAGTGTGTATTTTTTCTATGTTAAAATACTTTCTCCTATCCCAGCTTATCTGTAAGTAAATCATTCGTAGGTTGATTTTCCCAGAAAATTGTAAACACTGGTGGTTTCAAAACATGACTCTGTTTGTTTGAGAATCCCGACCAGCCCAGCTTTGCAACAATGATTCAACCAATGGTGCGATTATGATGCATGACTACCTGTTTGGCTGACCAATGGCAGGCAGGCAGAGTGTCCTCAAATAGGGAAACTTGTGCAGACTTTACACGCTTCACCTAGAACTAGATTAACGAATGCCATTTATTGATTTATGAAAAAGTGTTAATGACTATATGCTCTGGTGGATGCCAGACACTCACACCCAACACTTTGCAATCTGAAAAGTGGCACAGTGAAATTCCAATGCACTAGAGCATCTGTGGATCTGTCATCACACCAGTGTGTATCGTATTGAGAACTTCAACAGTTCAACATCAAGATCACCTCTCTCGTTTCCTGTCAGTCACACGCTCATACAGAACCTGATCTCCTTCTGTTTCTCATTCTGCACCTTGCAGCCTTTGGTTTACATCTCTGGAGTTTCTCTTTTATTAATTATTTCACACTCTCTGCCCTATACCCTTGTTGTTACTATGCATCAGAGGCTGCTTGTTTAATCAGGACTGTGGCGATGGGCACCGGCTTATGTTAGCCTCAGATATCCGCCTGTGTGTGTCTGACTGTACTTGAGCAGTTGGAACCAGATTATTCCAGTTCTTTGTGGTTTGAGAGCTAGAGGAGTTTATCAGCAGACATGGCCTGGAGAGACTTGCTTATGTATCATGGGAGGTGTCTGAATTCAGGGTGCCGCTGTATATTGTGCTGGAACCTCACACTTGAGCAAACACCTAACCATAAGTATTGGGTATGTAATTCATTCCACACTGTTTGTGCTACAGGTGTGACTGGTATTTTAAATTGTGTGGTTTGCTGAGGAGAGGTACAAGCATTCAGATTTACAATTTATGACAAAATGAATAATAAAATGAGTGAAAATATGTCTTACACTCACAAATGGAAATGTAATATAATAGAGACTTTCGGCTGGGCTATTTTGACATTAGGCTATTAAGAAACCACCTAGCAACCACCCAAAAAGGTGTGGACACATTAACAAAATGTCATGTGCAAAAATTGTCTGTTGTCAATAGGGTTGTCAAAAAATAAATTAGAATTTCGAATATTCGTCGAATTAAAAAAAATAAAACCTCGTCGTCGCATTTCGTGCGTCAGGCAGCCTTATCAGTGGTGCACGAAATGCGACGACGACATGTTTTTAAATGAAGAAAGTAGCCTACTCTTTGTGATTGGTTTTCGGTCCATTGTATTAAACTATACATACATGCATGGTGCTGTTTTTTTCTAATTGTTTAAGCAACTTTATTAATTATATATGGTTTATAAATATTATTTTAAACATTATGCACTTTTTTCAAAGATAGTCGTGTTATTTTTTTACTCTTTGAAGAAACGTGCATAATATTTTGCTCGATCTGCCTCTTGTGGCTTCAAGAGAGAAGCCAAAAGCTTTTTTTCCCCCTAACTGAAATTATGCCTTTTAAATTCTAATATAATTCGAATTTTGATAATATTTAAGTAAAAATTTCGAATTTAGTTTTTCAGTCATTTTGACATCCCTAGTTGTCAATAGTGTAGTGAAGTAGGAATTACAGTTCACAGAGAAGTCACTTTCAAACCAAACAGCTTTCTGTTAGTCAACGCAGACAATGTTCATGACCAGCTGAACCCGATACGAAATCTGTGTGGGAAAACCTTTTGTCCTCATGAAAAGTTCCCAATCCATTGGATTCCTATTAAAATGAATGGATTACACCCACAAAACAATAAATTTGACCGCACCTTAACACCCTAGCCACCAAAAATATACCCCAAACAAAGGTACTAGATTTGAATTGAAATGATGAAAATATAACTTTTTTAATGTAATTTTTTACAGCTTTCTGGACTCCAAACAGTTGCTATTAATTAGACATTGCTATTATTTATTATTAATATTTATATGAGTAAAATACAACACTACTTTCTTTTCAACAGAGTAGATTTATGATATTTTATTGTTAGTTGCCCTTGAAAATAGTGGAATATCAAGGAAAGGGAGAATCAATGACCTGCTCATGATAATAAAATGTAAAAAAAATAAAAATAAAAAAGTTAAACACTTCCAACAAGTACACAAATCCACTTGAGCTTTTTTTTTTCACTGTGGTGTTTTTCTCCCTTGCACTCCTAAACATGAACAGTTTCATTGTTTATTGACTTTGGCAAGCAAAGAATTTATTATACGCAGAACGTTTGTGTTAAACTGAGATAGTAGAGCCTCCTCGATTCATGTTAGAAAGCATAGGTACCTTTACACAGCCGGTTGCCACCGCGAACACAACACAAAACATTTCCCTAATGCATTCAAGGTGTGTAATTGAAGTGCATGTGTGTCCGTTTACTACATTAGTGAAATAATGGCCATAAAGGGCCGCATGGGAAACATATATAAAGATGAAGGAGTGATCGTACAAATAATGAATTCTTTCATTGGAGGTATAACAAAGCACGCATAGCGGAGATCAAAGACGTAGAACCACACGCATGTACGCCTCATATAACAACCTCTGCAATAGGTGTTATCTATAAAAGCCCACTGCCCAGAATCAGGGTGGGCTAGGGCTTTTATAAGAGACGATTAGGAACTTCATGGGTGAGCTCTACTCTGCCAGCATTTTGTTTAGGAGTCAGAGAAACTCGGGGGAAGCTTGTAGGATCCCCTTGCTAGTGAGCCTCCCCTGGTCTTCATCAGGCGAACGGTTTCATTGTTTTAATGGGGAAGTTGTAATTACTGCGGCTGGTACAGTGTATGAGGTGTCAGGGATTCATGGGATGACTGCGTTGCCGTGAGACATTCCGGCAAAGCCACCACGGCGACTCACTAAAAGGGGGAAGTCCTGACTCCCTTTGAGGATTCCTTTGTTTTGCAGCCAACCTAGACCTGTTGCAGCTGGTTTGCCACCTCATTTGAATTCTCATATGAAGACGTTAAAGCTTTGTTCTATTGTAAACGGCTGTGGTTGATAAGCTGTTGTCTTCGTACATGCAAATGAGCCATAAGGTGTTTCTCCGCTTTTACATAACGCCTTTTGTATGTACGCTATGAACAGCTGTTATTAAGATGCATATGGTGGTCCGATCACAAGTGGTCAGCCACTTACATCTAGTATGTGTCACGAAAATGTCTCATGTGACAATGAAATACTGACAATGAAACTTTTTTGACTTAGAAATTGCTAGTAAATTTCACAAAAAAGGGCAAGTAACATTAAATTAAATGTCATTTTTTTTTAAGTAGAAAACTGAATAATAAAATAATTTGTTACAATGTAGTTTTTGAACATTTCCAGCACATTTTAACAATAACATGATTTAATTGATAACTGTGATAATTTTGATATAAAATTTTCAGACTGTTTCATCCACGTATTTAAATATTTGAATACATTTTAATATAAAAGATATATTATTTATTGAATAATATTTGGGGTTGTTACTCTTATGCTCATCAAGGCTGCATTGATTTGATCAAAAATACTGTAAAAACAGTAATATTATGAATTAACTGTTTAATATATATATTAAAATGTAATTTAGTCCTGTGATGGAATAACGTTTTAATATGCTGATTTGGTAACATTTCTTATTATTATCAATGTTGAAAACTGTAGTACTGCTTAATATTTTTTGTGGAAACACTTAACAGCACTTAATTGAAATATATTAATAATACATTTCCTCTCTCTCTCTCTTTCTATATATATATCTCTCTTATGTATGTCTTATATGTACCTTTATGTATATATAATATATTATATGCAATATTAATAGATAGATTTACTGTATACACCTAATTGGACAAATATTCAAATATATTATATAATATTAAATATTAAATAACAACAAAAATTCAAGTCACATTAGTTTAAGAGTTTAAGAATAACATTATACTTGCTGAGTGAAGCACATACAAGCCTGGAAACATTTGTAAGCAAGCATGCTGTACATTCAGATAGTAGCTGCACATGTTTTCCCAGCATTTCATAAAAGTTGCCTTCGGGACTAGGGCAACCAAGTCCATCACGCAGTACAGTCATAGACAAGGGAAAGCATCATGCGACCCATCGACTTTGGCCTAGATCACTCAGACAGAGCCTGTCCTCCTTTAACACGCTGTCATGCCGTATAGCGACCTCTGGAAACAACAGGCGAGAGGATGGGCAGCCCGCAGGCCTTGGCATTTTTAGATCCGCAGTACAGTCTGTGGCACGCTATCCTCCAGAGAGCTCCAGTGAATTTGCTACAGATGGATCCCAAACAAGACAGATCTGGCTTACAGATAGATGCTTTAATACCTTCCAGCAGCAGTTGTCCCCTACAACCATCCTGTTATGCTGAACTCAGTCACGTTTATCTCATGTAGAGACTAATTCAACATGGATTTCATTGATCTGTGTTGTTTCACATTGGGTTCTCTTGTACTTTGACAATAGTCTCTTAGAAAACAAGCTTCAGAATTCAGAATTTCAGAGTTTTCAGAAACTGTCTGTAATATATTGCAGTGTTACTATTTTACATTTTTAATACTTAAAAAAAAAAATTAAGTTGTTGCATTTTACAGTTTTTCTGTTTACAACTAATGTAATTTAATTGCTTTTGGGCATTTTATTCTGTTTTATTGTTGTTGTTTTTTTGTACATATTACGAATGATCTCATTCTTGACTAGCCTATAGCACAAATGGTGTGAGATGAGTAACACATGCTTAAGTTTAATACTTCGGGGTACATTCAGATCCCTCACGCTATGTATGATCAATAGCAAACACTAATAAGTATCAAGTGGAAATATGCCACATATATGGGTATAGTGTGAGTTAAATATGAGTTACATTGCACTCATGTTTCCCTGGGTTTGCTTCAGGGGTTCACTCTTAGAAGGATTCCCTAGGAAGCATCTGTCACTCTATACCAAAGTATATAAACACTGCAATCAATCTAGGACGTTCATATGACCTTATCCATGGGGCAGCATGGTGTACTGTAACCCTAGAGTTCTGCTCTTCTGCACTGTATGATTCCATTCGCTTACTGTGTCTACACTATATTACGCCAACAGCACATCATGCTAACTGCATTACATTTTCAAGAGACATGTATGGTTTTAGATACAGCAGACACAAAAGGCAATGCATACACTAGCGTTCAAAAGTTTAGGGTTGGTAAGATTTGTATAAATAATTTTGGGGGGAAAATTATTTGATCAAAAATACAGTAAAAACAGTAATGTTTTGAAATATTATTACAATTTAATATTAATTTTCAGCAGTCATTACTCCAGTCTTCAGTGCAATGCATCCTTGCTGAATAAAAGTATTAATAAAAAAAAAAACCACACACATACTGCCTCTAAACTTCAACATATGGCATGCTGCACTGTAATATATCAGTACAGGTTGTCAAAGGTAATTCCTTGGGAGTGTTGTACTGTACTTGTTGAGGTTCAAACTACAGTTTACAGAAGAAAAACATGATTGAGCTTTCCTCTCATTTTCTAGGTGTTGACATCCTGAAGCTTGTGGCAGCACAGATTGGCAGTCAGTGGATTGACATGTATAAGTCTCTGGCCAGTGCCAGCGAGCGAGAGGTGGCCGCCTTTTCCAAGGGCTACTCAGCTGATCACGAGAGGGCATACGCTGCACTGCAGCACTGGACCATACGTGACAGTGACGCCAACCTGGCAAAGCTGATCAATGCCCTTCACCGCCAACGCCGCATTGACGTGGTGGACAAGATACGTAGTGTCATGGAAGACAATCCTCAGGTGAGCGACTAGGTTTTAGGTTGATGAATGATGTTTTGCAAAAATAAATGTTTTCAGTTACAGCTGTCATTTTCAGCTGGTCATGTGTCTGGAACATGGTGACATCCATTAGGCCAGGGATCCTGGCAATGCAAAAAAATGTTCAAATAAATAAATAATACAAAATATATTAATCTAAATAAACAAATACATTTTGTTAAAATAAAAAATAATAATAATTCAAATAAAACCAAATGGATTAAAATGAATAATAAATTATGATATTTAATTAAAATAAATAATAAATAACTAAATAAACAAAACTGTATTAGATTGACTGTATTTACTGTACTGTATTGTACTGTATTTACTGTACATTTACTGTATTTAATACAAAAATGTATTAAAGTTAACATTTAAATAAATATGACTAAAATAAATAAATTTGTAAAATACATTTTTATTTTTCTACTTATTTGTTAAATAAATAATCAGTAAATAAATAAACTAAATAAGCAAAATAATTAAATTGATATGTAAATAAATACATTTTGATTTAAATAAGGCATCAAACAGTACAGTACTACTGTACATTTTATGTAGAACTAAATATTTAGCAAATATTTTCCACATATTTATCTTATTCATTTTATCGCAGTGTTAATTGGGTCTTGGGTCTTTAATAATATATGACTGCCTTTTAAATTTTAGGATGGGAATACATTTTAGGACATGAGGGTAATCATATTTGGGGGTTTGTGGTTTTTTTTTTAATAAAAAATAAAATAAATAAAAATAGTTTTTTTTAATAAAATAATAAAAAATATGATTAAAAAAAAAAATGGTTTACACTATATAGTCGAAGTGTTTGTATTGTTTATTAGCAAACATCAAACCTGTTCTGTCATGGTTAAGCCACAAGCTACTGTATTAGTCAAGCCACAATAATGGATCAAGTAGTCATGTTAGTGTATATAGTCTTACACATCACACACACCCCAGGTCTAATAACTCTCTATTTGGATAATGCGTGTGCAGAAGCATAAACAAACCACATGAGTGCATCGTGACTCCTGGCTGCATCCCATTGAGCTGCATTACTAATGACAAAAGCCTGACAGGCTGCCGGAGATGGAGGATCAGTCATCAACTTTCATTTTAGAGTTTCAAGCCTTTCCTGTGTGCAGATTTTATAAAGACCACGTTATTTACTCTGTCCTTGTCTCAAGGTCATGGTAGATGGTGAAGTTAAGGCTTTTGGACTAATTTCGATGCCACTGATATGACCAAGATAAAGTGAGATAAAACTTATTTATATGTCTGCCTGTCAACGCCATCTCATAATCACATAATTGCCAGTTGACTTTCACTGAACGTACGTCTGTGAAGGTAGAGCAAAGTCATCTTTCTGCAGAGCATATCCTGTTCACCTGTTCTTTTCATACGTCCTCATGTTTTGTTTATAAATCTGTATGTTTAAATGAGTAGTTCACCTATAAATGAACATTAAAAAAGATTTTTTAAAACCATTGAATATTCTAAAAATATATATAATTACAGGAAATTTAAGTTATCAATAACAACTAACCAACGTTGCCAGTGAAATGTAGTTTAAATTATGCAAAAATTGCAGCCTTATTATTTGGAAACCTGCTATACATTTTTTTTTTTGGTATAGTATTTTATTTTATTTGATTTGATTTGATTTTTTTTATTGTATTTTATTTTAAAAAAAATTTTTTTACGTTTTACAAGTATTGTTTTTTTAACTATATAAAATATTTTTATTTGATTAAATTGTCTAATTCATTTGATGTTTATTGCTTGAAAACAACAGCAAAAAGGAAGAATTTTAGTCACTGACAATCTTGATGCTTGACAGTACCTGGTCACCATTAACTTTCATTGTATGGAAAAAGAAACATGACCATTTTCTCTGATTCATTTTGTGAAATATTAAATATTGTGAAATATATATATATATTTTTAATGATAGGAAAAATAAGTTTATCAACAACTACTAACCAGCAATTGGTCCCAAAATGTCTACCTTATTATTTGGAACCTTGCAATCTATTAATTTTATTTTATTTTATTTTATTTTGTGCATACTACAGCAAAAATCCTCTCTTTCCCATCCTCCTTTGTATTCAACTGCTGAAAGAAAGTCATACAAGTTTTTTAACAACATGAGGGTGAGTAAATAATGACAGGACTTTTATTTTTGGGACGAACATCCCTTTAAAAGATGTGAACCATAGAACGTGAGAATGGGCCTGGTCAGGGCATTTTCTCTTTCTCTGAGCAAAAACATAATGGTGCTTTCAAGAATTTATATTGAATTAGCAATGCTGAATTAAAATAGTTTAGCAAAGAGGATAAAACATCATTATCATAGACCGAGCGGCATTCATCAGAGCCACATGTTTCTAGATCAAATCACATGTATCCCATGCTCCACAGCCACAGTGTCAGGTGAATGAATTGCACATAGTAAGAAAGAAAAAAGACATTAGTATCAGATTAAATGTTTCACAAAACCATTAGGACATTTTGATTTATGTATGCTTGTCCTTGTTTACAAATGACTAGAAAGTAAGGAAGGAGAATGAGTTATTTCTTCAAATGTGTGATCTCTTGTAGTTTTTAATTTCATATTCATTATGATTTTCTCCTGGATTCATGCTATTAGTTTCTTTTACTGCCTATAAATAGAAAGACATGCACTTTGATGAATTACAAAGGATACAAAGTCATACCACTTAGACTCAGCATGCAAGTAAACCTCAGATAAGGGGCCTCAGAGGATAAACACACCCAGTGCTCCACTTGTTATGGACGCCGGCCAAGCAACCCCAGAACGTTTAGACGCCGTCTGAAAGCTGCCACCAGCACTGTCCTGTGCTACTATTTATATACCGCATTTTGACAGGTTTTCCAAACCATAAAGAAGAAACAAGGAACTTTTCTTCCTCTTGAAATTATATATTTTTTTATGCATAATGTTGAAAGTTCCCTTAGCAAGCTGTCTATAGTCAGATGTGGACCATACGCTGTGTGCTGTAGGTGGTCTTGTTGAGTCTGGAGCAGTGTTAGCTGCGGCTAATAAGATCAGTGTGGGAGTGACACACGTTCCACATCTGTGGCTTGTGTCCTGGTGGGTGACGGCACAGTGTTCCTGCCGGCTCCCATGTTGTGCTTTCAGACTTTTGCCAACAGCTTGTCTGCTGAATGTGGATAGAGAAGATATTTGGGTATACGCCCATCCTTCTTCCTGTGACATGCATGAACAGTAGACTCTGTGGTTAGAATAATGCGATTGTTAGTTTCGTTGACACTGGACCCTAGATAGGGAAGCCTCTATCTAGCCTCTTTGTATTAGTCAGTTTTAATACAAATGATATGGGCTCTGGCTATGTGTACATATATTCTACCATTCAAAGGTTTGGGGTTTTTGAAAGAAATGAATACTATTATTCAGCAAGGATGCATTCAATTGATCAAAAGTGACAGTAAAGACTTACATTATTACAAAAATTTATTTTGGAAATAAATGCTGTTCATTTACACTTTCTATTCATCAAATAATCTGTTCTGTTCATCCAAAAAAAAAGTTTCAATTGTAATAATATTTCACAATATTACAGTTTTTACTGTATTTTTGATCAAATAAATGCAACCTTGGTGAGCATAAAATACTTGTTTCAAAAATATAAAAAAATCTACTGACTCCAATCTTTTTGAATGGTAGTTTATATTTTATAGTACAGTTTAGTGTTGGCAATGTGTACACGTCAATGTACCCGAAATTAGGTAAAACCTTTATTTTACACAAGATGTGTATAAATATATGTAATTAGTTTTATAAAAATGAGGCACATTTAAATATATATATATATATATATATAATGGCACACTGCCAAAAATCTTCCCTTTTTGCTCTTTTTTGGGGGCAAAAATCTTTTGCATTTGGCACTCATTCTGGCTTCCCTTGTAAAAAGTGGCTATTTTTGTATCTTGCATGTGCTGCGGCACACTTACTTCCTTCCTTTCAGCACTAATGCATGGATAGGGTGGAGTGGCCTTATCTGTTAGCTTAGTTCTTACTGCTGCTGTGTGCCAAAATACAAGATTTCTAAAGTCAAAGGTAAATTCATAAACACATTAATCACATCATTGCATAAATTTACTGTATTGAATTTGGACAGTTAACTAACTGTTCAATGAAAATACCAGATTTTCTGGAACTGTTTGATGTACTTTTGCAAATAGCACAAACAATGTAAGGACAGAGAAATGTCTGTGGTCTGTAATGCGCCATTATACTCCTATATTAACTCACTCGACCTCTTGTGTTGCCATTTTATCGATGGTGCCTTTGAGTTCAGAGCTGTTTTTCTCTGTGTGGGGTGACTAATAAATGACTAAATATGATCTCTCGCTATGCCACTCAGAGTAATGGCCTGCTTTTCTATGTGGCATTGATTATTCACTGCTGATTCCAAGGGAAACTTTCCCGGAAATGGAGTGGTTTCCGTCTGTCCTATAATTTGGATGTTCTACTTCTGAAGTTCGAATACCTGCCCAGGCTATTATAGGCTACCTTGAATAGCTTATGTCAGGATTTCCCAATCTGGGAGTCACCAGAGCTTTCTTAGGGATCGCCAAGTCTATTTGATATTGATTTTAGCTACACTACAATCAAATAACTTTTCAGATAACCCTCTTATAAAGGAAAAATTCTTCTTCTGTTGTTTTGAAACTAGACATGATCAAACTATGTACACATGATGTCATAGGTCACTCAACACTTACACATACATACATATATATATATATTATTATTATTATTTTTTTTTTTCTACAGTTGAAGAGTCACCAATATGAGTATTACACATATTTTACTGTCTTTGTTACTAAGCAAAGTTTTTATTTAACATTTTAAATTGTTGAATTTTTGTTAAATATTAAACTGAAAGATTGTTGTTGTAATGTTATGCTGTTACTTATTATATATTATATTATATTTATATCTTTTTTTTAGCATGATTACAGTCTTGATGCTGATATGAAAATAAAAATAAATAAATAATTTATACATTTTATTATTAGATTTTTTAAATTGATTAGATTTTTTTTATTTTTTTGTCAAATATTAAACTGAAAGATTGTTGGTGTAATGTTATTGTAATGATGGGAATTTATTTTGAATTTATATATAAAATTGGATCGATAGAATAAAGGGAATAAGGGGCTACAATTGGGCCTGCATATGGATTATACTGGGCATGTTTTGTGGATAAGGTCACTTAAAATGCATAGCTTGCTAAAATGGTGCCCATATTTGCCTTTAGTATGCAATACAGACTTAAGAACAGTACCAGACTGTGGTAATAAAATCTGGACTGTAACGACTTCCTGTGAAGTGACTCGTTCTCGGAAATGCACCATTAATGTTCCAACACGTTGGCATAACAAGTATGCTTTGCGCACAGACAGGGGGTTTTGTGACCGTAACACAGGCCATGGGCTCTGTGGGCAGTGAATTTCTGACTGTACTGGATCTTTTTCATCTGTCCTCCCCTGACGCAAAGGGCAACAGGGAAATTACTCATGTGGGTGGTCCAGGGCTACGAAGGTTGAACCCTTTGTGCTGATCCGGGCCATGAGCACATAGAGATACACTTGTAGTGCCCACACATTAATACAGTCATCGCTGTCTATCAGCAAAGACCCTCATTCTTTCAAACCCATTACTCACATAATAGTTGTTCCAAGAAAACTTTGTTTGTCCTGACAGGATACACTTGTGGGTTCAGAACGGCATGAAAAAGAATCTCGAAAGAAATGTGTGCCAGAATGATGTTCTCATCACTGTCATTAACATATACTGTGACACCTCTTTTGCCGCAGGTTGACCTGAACAAACTACTGACGGCTGTGAATGTAAGCCATTGTCTGAGCCCCAGCCATAAGCCTTTCGAGTCGCCCGGTGTGGTGGTGGAGCAGTCCCCCATGGAGCGCACCAAAGGATTCTTCACCGACGAATCAGAGCCACTGCTGCGCTGTGACTCCACTTCCAGCAAGGACTCTGCCCTCAGCCGGACAGGCTCTTTCATAACCAAAGGTAAGCACACATGGATAAACAGAAAGAAAAACACACCGATGACAAAGTTAGTAGTAATAAACCTATAATTCTATAAAAAAAAAATACAATATTTATTATTATTATTATTATATTTTAAATGTGTTTGTAATAATATAGCACTTTAAATGAAAATATCATACAATTTAAATATAATGTAATTTGTCATTCTGAATTCTGAATTGAATTCTGAAATTAAAGAATACATTTTGAACCATTTGAAATATGCAAACAATTTAAATCATAAGAAATGTAACCCTTTTCATTCATGTTTTACTTTTCATTCATATTTAGTCATATTTTATTCTCTTCTCATTTAACAATTTCAATGAATGAACGTGTAATTAAATTAAAATTGAATCATCTTTTGCATCTTTCGTGTGTGGTGAAAGGTATTGTAGTAATAGCTTACAATATATCACCCCCTTGTGGATGCTTTATGCTCCTGCATTGTGTTCAATCATTTCAAAAATTCAATTTAAATCACCCTATTAAATGCAATTTAGCAATTTTAATTCATATTAGTAAAATCTTTAAATAACAATACATAACAATAAACATGCATATATGCAAACGTGTGTGTGTGTGTGTGTGTGTGTGTGTGTATAATATGTGAGTGTGTGGATATTTAAATATTTTTCAATTTTTTATTTTGAAATATTTAGTCTTATTTTATTCCGTTCTCATAATTAAAATTGAAATTCAATTTAAATTAAAATTTTGAAATAACATAACAATAAACATGCGAGTATGTGTGTGTTTGTGTGGATAGATTGATAAATGTTTTATTTTAAAATATTTTTAATATTTATTATTTGTTTTTTATATTTTTTGTATGAAATAATTTAAATTAGTCTTTGCACTTTTAATATGGTAAAAGCAAATATATTGCCCCCTTGTGGATGCTTTATGTTCAACCATTTATAATATACAATGTTACTTTTTCTTCTTGAGCTGATTTTTCATCACACCATCTCCTATTAAATATGACATTTTTCTTTTAAATTTGCACTTTTCTTTTAGTATTTATTCAAAGAATATCATGAATAATAATTCCTTAAGAATTTATTTTATTAATGGCGACGCTCAATCTTCTCTCCCACAGAGAAAAAGGACACAGTGCTGCGGCAGGTGCGTCTGGACCCCTGTGAACTGCAGCCCATCTTCGACGATATGTTGCACATTCTCAACCCTGAGGAGCTCCATGTTATTGAGGAGATCCCGATGGCAGAGGACAAGCTGGACCGCTTGTTCGAGATTGCAGGAGTGAAAAGTCAAGAAGCAAGCCAGACGCTGCTTGACTCGGTCTACTGCCACTTGCCCGACCTTCTTTAGACCTTTACAACATCTCACTATTGTCAGCTACAGAAACAAAGTGACGGACACACAAATGTGTGCTCACTTTGTTCCATTGTGTCGTGACATGCACGTAATTTTAAAACCTCTGGAATGCTCAGACGGGAGCTTATCTGCACATAAAAACGCAGCTCATTTCGCTAGAATTCACAGTGTGGAAGAAGCGTTCTCATGTTTGTGAGCTCTTGACTGGATGTCAGTGCTATAACCTCTCTAACATACAGCATATTCTTGCACACACCTCAGCATGATGTCTAACTCAAAGCTATATGATGTAACTTATGAACTGGTTTGTAAATTGTTAATTCAAGCATTTAGTCCTCTGATGTTATGTTAAAATGTTTTTGTTTTTTTATTACTACTTACAAATTAACACATCCTAATCAGCAAGATATTTTTGTTCCTTATGTTTGTCTTTTTTATGTTCTCAAGTATTACCACTGTAGCTTGTTTAGATAATAATTTTGTGTTTTATGTGATTTCAAGGGCACTGAAAACTATTCTAACTGGTTCTGATGCAAACCATGACTGTGGATTATGTGCACTCACTACACAACTCTCAAAATAAACTCCATTCCCATGTGCTTTTCCAATAAAAGAGGACAAAAAACAAGTATGATCGCTAAGTAATTTCACACAGGCTAGAGTACCACCAAAAAATCTATTTCACAACATTTAAATGTAGCATTTCAGTGTTGATATTGCAGCTGATGATATGTGGTACAGAGAGAATGTCTCTGTTAAACTCTGTTAAATCAAGTCACTCTGGTGCTAGATGTCAAACTATGGGATAGTGGTCGATTTTATTCCAATAACAGGGTGTTTATGGTCATTTGACCGCTGAACTTTAAAAAAAACAAAATAAATGTGGGTCAAGATGAAATAGCAGCTTGTATTGACTCTCCTGGATCTTAGGAAGAGTGTCAGACGAGCTGTTTGGAAACAAACAAGGACAGAACCATGGAGCGGAAAGCTAATATGTATTCTAATGGCTGTTTTAAAGTGTAACACATGTAACCAAGACATTTATTATTATTGATAATTATCATGTAACCTGGGAAATCAACAGATTAAAGTTTTTTGTCATAAATTGTGGTTGTTTTCATGTGGGGTTTCGATCTCGATGCAATATCAATTCATGTGTATATAGCCTACTGTAAAAATAAGGGTATAAAATCTTGTTGAATGCCTTTTCAGCACCATTTTAAACTTGGTTTACATTCAGTATTTGCTTGCATTCGTTTTATGCGAGTATCATTTAAAAAAGGATGTAGGCCTAAGTTATTAACTTTTTAAATTTCTATGAATCGCGTGACCGTGCAGCGACGCCGGCAAGATCAGCTTGTCGCAACAGCTCTGTTCAATAGCTCTGGCTTTAACTGAAGCGCTCAATTTGACAATTTACGCCTTAAGTGCGCCAAAACGGTATTTATTGTTAGAATTTAGTATTAAAACGTACAAAACTTGAAAGCTGAGACTTTGTTTCATATCACAATCAGGGTTGCCAATTTGGCGTGAGATTTACATGGGACAAAATCTTACACTTGACAAACACACCAATATCATCCCAAAACTTCTGAGTGTAGTGACATGACCAACCCTGGCGGTTGTACACTCCATAGATATATATAGGTAGACGTCACATTTGACCGCTCCAGACACGTTGACGAGTCCGCCATCTTGGAGCGGTCAATGTGTTATCATTCACAATAAAAATCAATGAGTTTCGAGATGTTGCAACATTGCATCTGGTTGTGAAGAAACTGGATAAAATTGCATGGGTAAGAAGGTGTTGATTTGTGTTTTTAATATGTATTATCTCAATATTACAGGTTTTTAAACTATAATGCCTTTTAAATGTCATGTTAGCTAATGGTTTTTGTCTTGTTGTATTGTGTTAGTTTAGCAAAGCCATCTGCGTATAATTAGTTGCAGACACACAGGCAACTTGCTCTAGAGTGTTCACGGACCGGCTTTGATCATTCCAAAATGGTGGACGGCTTACGAATAGCAGCCCATAGAAACAGCCGCTAAGAGGGGATTTACCTATACATACACTCTTTATTGTGGTACATTATGGGATTGAATGAGTGCACTATAGATTTGGACACCACTACAAATGGCTGACCCTTCAAACAATATCCTATTTAAACGTATGGAGGCGGTTTCGGTCACAGCCCTGCAGAGTTTAGCTCCAAAACTGCTCCAACACACATTAACACACAATAAGTGTTAAGGACTTGATTAGCTGAATCAAGTGTGTTTAATTGGGTTGAAGCTAAACTCTGTAGAGCTGTGGTGCTCTAGGAACTGAGTTTTGCACCCCTGGTCTACAGCCACTAGCCTGTCTTTTTTTTACCTCTATAAATTTGCTACTATCAGCTGACAGACACAAAAATGAGCACTCACTCCATTCCACTGTATCATTCGGTGACATGTAGGCCTACGTCATTTTGGAACCTCTGGAATGCTCAGACAGGAGTTTATCTGCACATCAAAAGCCGCTCCTTGCACTAGAGTTCACATTCGTGTGAATGTAGTGTTCTCCTCTTTTCATTGGAACTTGGTCTTCAATACATCTATTTTCTGTTTCTATTTTGTGTTTCACTTCTTTTATGTATTTATTCATGTCCAATGTCAATTATCATTTATTAATGTATTTAGCTAATAATGGTTCCTGGTGGGCCACTGTCCTACAGAGTTTAGCTCCAACCCTAGTTAAACCCACCTGAACCAGCTAATCCAGGTCTATGCTGTGTTCAAAAAGTTCCCCCTATTCCCTCAGTCACTATTCCCTACATTAGTCTGCTAATATATATAGTCCACTTGAAGGAGTGAATGAAATAAAGTGAGCAAATTAAGACACTGAGTGTGCTGGAAGGGCTGCTGCTTTTGCATAGCTTGTGCTGGCTGATTAATAATCATTTAAAACTTAGTAAACTAGCTCTGGTAGTAATGAAAAGATTTATTTTGAACTCTCATAGAAACACTGCACTCTCCCACAGTCAGGGTCTGGCCATGTTTAAGGATTCAAAGACTCTTGGTGTAGTTTATCTATTTCTAAGGTGTTACACTCATGTCTCCAGTGTTTAGTCTGTTTTCTCCTGTGGATTTACCTGATTTTCTAGTATCCCAAGCGTTCTGATTATCTGATCAGCTAATCATTTAAAACTTAGTAAACTAGCTCTGGTAGTAATGAAAAGATTTATTTTGAACTCTCATAGAAACACTGCACTCTCCCACAGTCAGGGTCTGGCCATGTTTAAGGATTCAAAGACTCTTGGTGTAGTTTATCTATTTCTAAGGTGTTACACTCATGTCTCCAGTGTTTAGTCTGTTTTCTCCTGTGGATTTACCCTTTTTTTCTAGTATCCCAAGCGTTCTGATTATCTGATCAGCTGTTCTGATCAGCGTTCTAAGTATCTGATCTTACCTGCCACTCCTGCAAAATTACAAGACTTATCCTGTGTATGCTCACCTGCTTCTCCAGCGATCTCTATTCTGTATAGCCATTCTCTGGTGTTCTTGATTTTTGGCTGTTGTTTGTTATACTTACCTGAGGAATCCTTATAGTTGTGAGATTGAGCTGTTCTACTTAAAAGTATACCTAATGTGCATATGCGCAATACTGTCGATAATGTGCATTCACTATACAAATCTTAAAATAAATCCCTTCCCATGTGCTACTTAACAGACCAGGTTACTCATCTTAGAGGCTTTTACTACTTCAGGGATGCTTCCTAGAGTAGTAGATGAATTAATTGCTGGACGATTCAAACTGAATGACAAATACTTACATATAGTCAACTGGTAAACAAAGATTAAGAGTTTGAAAAACAGTGTACAGATGCTGACATGAAGGGGGAAAAGTTTTTATTGTGTCAAGGCAAGTTTTCAAAATTTTGAATGTATTTGATATTTCCTTGTTTACAGGATTTGCACTTGGAAAGTCTTGTATGTTTTTTTTAATTAGATTAAAGTGTATATATGTACATAGTACAAGGAAATAGAAAACATAGTGAGATGGATTTTTTTTTAATTACAAATGTCAAGTATTGTTATTAAACATATATACATGGCTGGCGGTGAGCCCGGGTGCGAGGGCCCGTTCATCGCTGCTTGCAGCTTTAATTTTAAAATGAAATTTTGTCTTCAGTTACTCACCCTCATGTTGGTCCAAACCTGTATGAGGTTTTTTTTTTCTTCTATTGAACACAAAAGATTATTTATTTTGGAGAATGTTGGTAACCAGACAGTTGACAGTAACCATTGACTTCATAGTGGGAAAAAAAAGAAAAGACTATGGAATCATTGGTTACCATCAACTGTTTGGTTACCAACATTCTCCAAAATAAATCATCTTTTGTGTTCAATAGAAGAAGAAAAAAAACTCATACAGGTTTGGAACAACATGAGGGTGAGTAACTGAAGACAAAATTTCATTTTAAAATTAAAGCTGCAAGCAGCGATGAACGGGCCCTCGCACCCGGGCTCACCGCCAGCGGGCGGCTTTAGTAAAACAGTCAACGGCGAGCAATATGAATTTAATGTGGTAAATATAGGAGGAATATGTCGTATGAAATGTGTGGAGAGGGAGCCCGGTGTACAGATTTGAGTCATAGTCGTTCATCAGAGTAGGAGGCTTGAATGTATCGCACTGCGTTGACTGGTTTACATAAGTTACAATGTGTTGTCTCTTGATGTAACAATGCTCCTCGAAGATGTGGTCTTCCCACTGTGTTCCAACAGAGGCAACATTTTTAGATGTACAGCTGTGGTCATCAACATCTGATTGCTTGGGACTGGGGACAGATGCAAGACTCTCTTCTACAGGTCTCAGTTCGTCCATTCCAGGGTGCTCTTGGTAAACACCAGCTCCTGTAAATACAGACAAGGCATTATACAGTGAAGCATCTAAAATTAGCTGGGTTATTATTATATGGTACAGTGTGAGTTTCTATTTCAAAAAGGGTCATTTTTATATTAGATTTTTTTATTTTTTTTGAAAATTGTTAATTACTAAAAATTAATAAACTAATTTTTAAAATTAGAATTTTAGTTTAAATTAAAATTAAATTAATGCATTTAGCAGACGCTTTTATCCAAATTCAGGCTATACATTTTTAACCAGTATGTGTGTTCCCTGGGACCGAACCCACAACCTTTTGCGCTGCTAACGCGATGCTCTACCACTGAGCTACAGGAAAATGTTATTATTTAGTTTTACTTTAGCACTAATACACTGTTAATTGGCAATTTATGAAAGACAGAATACTGACTTTCCACATTTTGTAAACCAAAATGAGTTAATGAACAAATACTTTTAGGTATTATTTTGTTAAATGTTGTGATTTGAGCTGCAATATGGTGAACATTTACCCCCCGGTTTCACAGACAAGGCTTAAGCCTAGTCCCAGACTAAAATGTTAGTCTGAGCTGTCAACTGAAAGAAACTTGCACTGACTGATCTTAAAATATATCAGTGCCTTTGTTTTGTCTCAAGATGCTCACCAGTAATGTGTTTAAGGCACGTTTATGAAAAATAAATTGAACTTTGGCCTAAACCTGGCTTAGTCTAAGCCCTGTCTGTAAAACCAGGCCTTAAGGTCCTATACTGTTGCAGCTGGTAAAATGATCAGACAGACCACACTGCTGCCAAAATATTTAGTCAATATTTAAGAGAGTGTGCACACTTGGGTAAACACTTTACAAGAACAAACTCAGACCTCTTTGACTAAAGGGGAACGAGTAAAAATAAAGAATCTTGGATTTAACGTTGGCACTCTCAAAGTGGAGTGTTCAAATTTGAATTAAAGTCAGACTCGTATAAAAGATTAATCACGCTGAATAAAACCAACATAACACACGAGTCAGAATAATTCACTTAAAGAGCCGATTCTATAGAGATGTTAAATAAATCAGACTTCACTTGTGATTATCCTATTTGAATCAGACAGTGAAAATACTGCAACAACATTTTGTTTATATATATAGATTATACTTAATAGATATACTTAAATGCTGAATGAAATGCTGGTTTCTTAAAGATGTTTAAGCACACATCATAAGAACTTGGTCGTCCAGACATAC